TCCCCTATGTTTGGCCCACACCCCCCTCGCAGCCTCCCCCCGCCTGCTGCAGCCTTCCCCCAATGGGCGGCTCCACCCCTGCACGGGCCTAAGGCTCTGGCCGGGGGCGTTGCGATGGTCGAGCGGCGGCTGCAGCTTGCGGCGTCCCCTGCCCGGGCCTAACGCCTCGGCCAGAGGCCTTAGGCCCGGGCAGGGTCGGCTGCAGCTGGGGGTCTCCGCTGCCCGGGCCCAACGCCTCGGCCAGAGGCATAAGGCCCGGGCAGGGGTGGAGCCCACGATTGGGGGAGGCTGCAGCTGCGGGCTGAGGCTGCATGGGCGGCGTGGGCGATCATAGGGAGCTGGGGGTCCCCTGCCCACTCTGATCTGGGACACCCTTCAGGGCAAGCCAGCTGGCTCCCACCCGTGCACCAGGCTTCTATCCTATATAATAAAAGGGTAATATGCACATGCAATTTTTTTCCCCAAATATATTTTATTGATTTTTTGCAGAGAGGAAGGGAGAGGGATAGAGAGTTAGAAACATCGATGAGAGCGAAACTTCGATCAGCTGCCTCCTGCACACCCCCTACTGGGGATGTGTACGCAACCAGAGTACATGCCCTTGACGAGAATCGAACCTGGGACCCTTCAGTCCGCAGGCCGATGCTCTATCCACTGAGCCAAACCCGTTAGGGCGGTAATGTGCAAATTGACCCTAACAGCAGAACGACTGGGAATGACTGGTCACTATGATACACACTGACCGCCAGGGGGCAGATGCTCAATGCAGGAGCTGCCCCCTGGTAGTCAGTGCACTCCCACAGGGGGAGCTCTGCTCAGCCACAAGCCAGGCTGAAGGCATCACATTGGCGATGGTGGGAGCCTCTCCTGCCTCCTCAGCAGCTCTGTGGATGTTCAACTGCAGCTTCGGCCCGCTAGCAAGTGGACATCCCCCAAGGGATGTATCACTGCCAGCTTAGGCACAATCCCCCGGGGAGCAGGCCTAAGCCAGCAGGTGGACATCCCCTGAGGGGTCCCAGACTGCGAGAGGGCACAGGCTGGGCTGAGGGACCCCCGAGTGCACAAATTTTTGTGCACCGGGCCTCTAGTCTATAACAATAAAAGCATAATATGCTAATTAGACCGGACAGCCAAACAACCTTCCGGAAGTCATACGAAAGTCCTTTCAGATGAAGCCACAGCAGCGGGGCTGAGGCAGAGGTGGTTAGGGGTGGTCAGGCAGACAGGCAAGCAGTTAGGGGCAATCAGGCAGGCAGGCGAGTGGTTAGGGGCAATCAGGCAGATAGGCGAGCAGTTAGGGGCCATCAGGCAGGCAGGTGAGTGTTTAGGGATGATCAGGCAGGCAGGCGAGTGGTTAGGGGCGATCAGGTAGGCAGGCAGAGGCGGTTAGGGGCAATCAGGCAGGCAGGCAAGCAGTTAGGGGCGATCAGGCAAGCAGGCAGGCAGGCCAGCGGTTAGGAGCCAGCGGTCCTGGATTGTGAAAGGGATGTTTAGGCCTAAACTGGCAGTCAGACATCCCCCAAGGGGTCCTGGATTGTGAGAGGGTGCAGGCCAGGCCGAGGGACCCCACACTATGCATGAATTTCATGTACTGGGCCTCTAGTAATAATATAAATATATGTGTTTCTAACAAAACTTCAAAAAACTTGAAGCAAAAACTGACAGAACTAAAGAGAAAAATAGACAAACAGTAATAATAGTAGACTTCAAGGTCCCATTTTCATTAATGGATAGAACAAGTTAAGTGGAATATCAACAAGGAAATAGTAGACATGAACGACATCATAAATCAACTAGACCTAACAGACACCTGTAGAACACTCTAACAACAGCATGTACATGTAGCATTCTCCAGGACAGACCATATGTTTGACCATAAACAAGTCTCAATAAATTTAAAAGACTGAAATCATACAAATATGTCTTCTGACCACAATAGAATGAAGTTATAACTTTGGAAACT